CAGTTTTTCCAATCGCATGTAGTTCTACCTAGTTATACCAGTTTTACCAAGACATATAGTTCTACCTAGTTATACCAGTTTTACCAATACATATAGTCCTATTCAATTTTGATTCTCTCCAACTACTTACCATTCCGTCGCTGGAGTCGTCCGAGTTGGTTGACGACTCAGTCGGAGGAGGAGTCGGAGTATTCCTATCATCTTCTTCTTCGCTGCTTTCCTCCTCATTACCAACCGGAGGAGGAGATTTGGTTGGAGAAGGAGACTCGTTCTCTTCTTCAGTCTCGGCTCCGCCGCCGTCCTCACCATCTCCATTGCCATTACCAACCGGAGACTCCCTCTCATCTTCATTATCTTCTTCTTGATTCTCGACAACCGGAGATAACTCCTATCATCTCCCACTACCTCCTCAACAATAGGCTTCGAGCTTCTCTTCCGCGAACTCGTTTTCCGAACTCCTCCTCTTTTCCTTTTTTCTGGCCATCCTCTTGAGAAATACCTTAGGAGACTCGTTGTCTTCTTTTTCTTCTTCACTCTCAATCCGTGGATGAACCCTTGCAGTTTCCTCTCCTTCTTCATTCGTTTTTTCAACTTCCGTGCGACCTTCCTCTTCCTCAACATTTGTGGTCGCCGCAGGAAGACCAACTTCTCCTCCTGCATTCCTTCCAACTTCCTCCGCCTCAGCCGCCGGAATCGAACTAAGACCAACTTCTCCTCCTTCATTCCTTCCAACTTCCTCCGCCGCCGGAACAGAGTTTTCCCCATCTTTCTTTATCTTCTTTTCGGCAATCTTACCTTTCGCATATTGAATCGAGAGAAGATATCAATTCGAGAGGGCTCGAGTTAGAAATTGAGATCTCTAGTTTGACGAGAGATGAAGAACGGTTTTGATTTTGAGGGTAACGGTTTTGATTTCGCAAAATTTAGGGATTTGATTGAGAAATTGATTTCGATTTCAAAAGCTTTTCTCGGGTTTGCGGTTTAGATCCGAGTATGTTTGGTTGGGCGGATAAAACTCAGGTATAAAATGTAATTCTTATGTTTTGGCTAGGGTAACAAGGTAATTTACCTATTTTCAGATTAAAATTAATTCAAACAGAAAATTATTTTAAAAGGGAGAGTTTTGAAATTTCTATTTGAGATATGAGTCCCTCTATCATACACGACGAAGATCACGCATTAATGATCACATGCAAGACGATGTAAATAAAGTGGGACGACCATACCATACACCATAGATAATATTTTTAAACAGATAATCCAAACTAAACGACCTCGAAAACATCGAGGGCTTCGTCTGTTTCTATCATATTTTAAACAATTTAAATTCAATCACAACTTCTCCACGTTTTAATATTGTATGTACTTCCAAATCCAAACAGAACAAGATTTATTTCCATAATCTCAAACATAAACCGCTATATATAAATAAACATTAAAATCAACTTATAACAGTGGATCAAGAGAAAATCAAGAAACAAAAAGGAAAGGGACTGTGTCATTAATCATAAATATTAGAGGATCTCATGATACACAGGCTACTATACAGCCAGGTCTGGACCCTCACATACAATTAAGATAAGCATAAATACATACATAACCATATATTATATATTAAATATATGAGTTGGCCTAACAATGACCCGAAACCCTAGCTATATTTCATAATATATGAAGTAGAAGGAAACATATTACTCATAACAATAAGATAAATTTCGTGGCAGGAATCGATGATTAATATAGTTCTCAGATTAATTAATGAGAATTTTAATAATCAAGCAAGCTCCTAATGATGGCTGCTTCGGCACTGTTGTCGTCCGTCGAGGCCAAGAGTTCCGACAAACGATCACTGAGATCATCAACCTCCCTGTGTAAGTTCCTGATGTAGTTGCAAGTCTCTTGTAGTACCTTAGATGCTGACACCTGTCCATTTATTTAAACAAGAGATATTACTAATTAAAGTACAAAATGACGATCATTAAGATCCTCACAAAGAGTACGTGACAACATGTGCGACTGTTTTTTTTCTTTCTTTGTAACATTTCATATATATATCTTCGAAATTTAATAGAAATCAGTATTCTAAAATGATTACCACTTCAATGTGCACAACGGTATAAACGGCCAATATTTAATAAATCCTATTTCTCATCCATATATAGAATTGTGGTGAGTATATAGGTAGAAAAGAGTAATGAGGAGACATGGAGTTAAGGTACGTGGAAGTAGGAAGGGAACAAACTGAGTCCCACACCACCAACTTGTGAATTTAAATGCATAGATAAAAACATTCAAAGAACAAAATGATATATGCATAAATGAGGCTGTGAATTAATGTTACTTTATCTACGGATAGTTAATTGTAGGCCACATGTCTTTACACTACACGCCGTTGGATTTCACCATGCATATTAATTAATTAGTTATATACTATATGGTTCTAATTCATTTGAA